AAACGAAACAAAAGGTAACGAATTAATCGAAATAACGCTACAGAAGCCCTATACCTCACTCGCCCAAATCACTCTCCTTTCCCTCAAATCCCGTTTGAAATTAACCGACGGTCAGTTGACATTAATAGCCGGTCAGTTTCTTTCTTTTTTTTCATCAAGTTTTCGTTATTTGCTCTATTTTTCAAGATTTTGCTGTTAGATTCCATAAAATTCCTTGTATATGGTTTTTGCTGTTAGTTTTTGATTTTGCTATTTTTCAAATCCCGTTTGACAGCTAGTCTATTTTCTTTCTCTTTGCACTTCACATAATGTTGAATGTTGGATAGCTTAATTTTCATTAGGTTACTCCTAATTTCTAAACGTGTCTTGTGTAAATTAAATATATTTTTTTCTGAAATTAATTTCGGAACAAATTCTAAAATTCGTTTGGAAGTGGAGAATTCCATATCTAAAATTCTAGGAATGTCACTCAAGCATAGAAGAAAATTTCAGCAAAGAAGTTGTGCTGAGTTTTTTTCATTTTAACATAAAATTCTTACTGGTGCTTTGAAAGTTGTGCTTTAAAACTAACTACCGTTTTCCAAGTTGAAGCTTTGAAAGAGAAGTGTGTTATATGATTGCCGTGTTGCTAAAGCACTTTGTCAAAAATTGTAAGGTCTTTGTATATCATGCATGGGTTATGCGGTCATTGGTACGAGAAGCTGTTTAATTAGTATTAAAGAGTAAAAATAGTTAGCCTATTTGTCGATGTTAGTGTGGAGGAACATTTGGATGGTAGGCGTTCGAAAAAAAATGGAGTAACTTTTGCATACATTGTCCGTTTTGGGCCCATGACCCCATTCCTAAAAGCTCGCGATGATTCCAGCCCAGCCCAACTCAAAATGACGCTTAATATTTTTTAGTTCATTATTTTCAGTATTTATTTATTTTACTTTGTAGCCCAGCCCATTAAGGGACTGCTGGTCCAGTAGGTTATATGTTCTTTTAGTATTTAAAACTCTAAAACGTGTAGCACTAGCACGTGCATTCTTGAAAGCACCTCATTTACTGTAAGTGTCTTTGACTTCTCTGGCCAATTTATTTTTCAATTGAAGTATTTCTGTAAATGGACTACATGTTAAGAACTCCTTCCTTTAATCTCCAACCTTGGGCACGTAAAGGCAATTCCCTCTAGTGATCAAGAGCTCATCCTTGATCCAAATAGCATAAATACTATAGAATTGAATCAAATAGCATAAATGAATATTAACATATTAAATGTTATAGTGTCAATGGTAACAACAAAAATGGCATTTTGCAACATATAAAAGATAACATTTGATGAAATACTTAACCTTGTTATCAATTTGCGGTTTGCATCGATGACTTTTGTTAGTTTTATGATCTATTAAGGTGGGAGACATGACCAAGAAGAGCTTTTATTTAATTATTTAGAGTGGAAAAGTTTTCTATAAATAAAGCTAATATAAGTTGACGGGCTCATTATAGCATTTACTTATCTTTTTATCTAAT